TGCAATAGCGCATCACATTGATGACTCCGTTGCCCACCTGTCTGCAAGAATATCTCGAAATGGGTGGACATATGGGCCATCTCTAAACTTTTTGGCATGGTTGGCGCAAACACCAGTGGCGCATGTTGTGGCTGTCCCCCGCTTTGCAGTTATGCGATGGGCGTTAGGAGAGGATGCTGACCTTTGGCTTCCCCTCAGAGGGCGGGCTAGCCGAACCTCCCCCTGTGCATGGTGTGGCCGTAATGCTAGGAATTATCCTGCAGTGGAGCTCTGTGCTACACCTGCACTGGACCGCAGCCAGGCCTCCCAGAGCCTATGTCTGAAGAGTTGCTAAAATCTCTGCCCCGGCATGGTCGCACTGAAGGTACTGGACTTGCCAGTCCTAACCTAATCTCTCCCCCATTTGCTGCCAAGCTACTCTCCTCAACAGGCCCGGCAGCGCAGTTTGCCCCCATTCCCTGTGTCCTCTGTCAAGGGGGAGCTAATGCCATTGACCACTGGCTTTCTTATTGTCCTGTCATCCACGGAGCCTGGCTCCTCCTCTGGAAAGGGAATGCTCCACCCCTTGATTGGCAACATCCTCCTAATCGACAGACAGGTGTTGCACTTTGCTATTTGTTATTCCATTCTCGACGACTTGTCACAGAATATGGGGGGTACGACCCTCCATTGAATGTCTCAAGGTTCGACCACCCCAACGCCATATCTTGGATTTGTGGCAACGTATTTATCAATCCTTGCCCGCTACCCTGCTCCAATGGTTTCAAGCTCCACTGCTTCACCATGACCTGCCGTGCACCAACACCGAACACATCAGAGTACAAAGATTCCCGCAGACGCAGATTGACTCAGCTCTTCTCCCGGATAAAGGTCTGTGCACTAATCGAGCCTTCCGCAAGGATGAGGCAATTGCCATTTTCGGACCCTCAGACATACGTTTGCGTCTCTTGTTGACGCAATATCGCCGCCTGCCCTTCCCAGCTGCGACTGCAACACTCCTCCCATACACCTGCTCATGTGGAAGTGTACACTACAAGTTACAAGCTACTGACGATGTGCCAGAAAATGCTATTCTCCTAATAGGAGAAGCACCCAACTGGCAAGGATGCCTAGTGCAGTTCGATGGCTCAGCTCACAAGCTTTCTCAGACAGGAGGCGCAGGAGTTAGTCTTCTGCAAGTGACCCAAGAAAATACTACTCTAGTACGATGGAAGTCCATTCCACTTATCCCATGTGCAGATAATGTGGTAGCTGAAGCCAAGGCTTGTTTAGCTGCTGTTCAACTTGCCCTCGAATATCACAGCCAGTGCTTAGCTTGTGGCATACCTCATAAAGGCACAATCATCCAAGGGGATATACTCCCGCTCCTCAATTATCTTCAAGGAAAAGGGCGAGTAAAAAGACCGGAAATTGTTCGTCTGCTTGAAGATTGCCAGAGTCTCCTTGCTAGTGCCCCCTTTATCTTTCGACTGGTGTACCTACCGCGAGAATGCAACAAATTAGCTGATTATTTAGCAGGGCAGGCTAGTGCGGTAGCCAGAGTGCATTTTGACCAACCTCTTGCTGTCGCTGCTCACCGTGCGGTGCCCCCGTATCATTTAGCACAGAAGCTTGGCTTTGTTATTGCAAGCGGGCCCCTGCAGCCAACTCCTGCATTTGTCCTCACTGAATGCCCCGAAACATCCAATGAGGGACTTGCAAACCTTCTCGCACAGCTGAAATCCCATGTAAGTGCTGTTGACTACTATCTTGCGGTAGCAAGAAGTCATCAAGGCAAGCTCACTGTAGGCTATAAACCATCCTCCGGTGATGGGCATGGCCGATTTTATACTGTTGGAACAGCGGCTCAGCAGCTCCCACGTAAAGTTCGTCTTCTTCTATTTGGTCGCAGCCACTGTGAAATTGACATAAGTGGGGCGCACTATGAGCTCACAAGACGATGCTGCGCCCAGGCTGGCGTTCATTGCTTGCTACTCCCGATCAGGAAGGTTCGAGAGTGGCTCAGAGCGGTCTTAGCACCGCCAGGCCAGCAGGCTTGCTCTCAAGACCTAGATGGACTGATCAAGAAGTGGCCTCCTTGCATTGGGGCTGACATATTGGCCAGGTCCTCCAGTGTGACGGGCCGTTGCGTGTTTTCGGGGATGCTGCCCAGGGGCTGTGATTGTGCTTGCCCTGCAGACTGGCGGAGCTTCTTGAATTGAGCTCGCCAGGATCCCGGCTTGGCTGCAGGCCGCCGTTTGATTGGGGACTCCGAGATATTGGAGGAGGAGTCGTCTGCGTGATGATCCACTCCTTGCGGTGGTAGGGTACTGCCCGCTTCATCACTTTCATCTGCCATGGGCGATTGCTAAGGCTTTCACCCTCTCCCTCATGAAAGGTGGCATCGTCATCTCCTTCGCACATGGGGAATCAGTGCCAGCTTGGTTTGGCGAGCTGGGCAGCGTGGATGGATCCGGAGTGGAACTAGGGACTGAGACAATACTATCTACTTCCCCCGCAGCCATGGTGGCGTCAGTTGTCTCTAGTGAGTTGGGAGGATGGTGCGGGTTCTCCGCATCTACCGTCTCAACTTCTGACACTGAGAGGATGTTATCAGCATCTCGCTGTTGGGGCCAATAACAGCCGTGAACTGAGAGACCAGCCTCCGGCGGTAGGACAAGGTCAGACCCCGGCGCGCCTAGGACTGGTTCTGGCCGCCACGCATCATAAAAGTAGATTCGGTGCAGGGCTTCAAAGCAGTGGAGAGGGAATTTTCCACGGCTTGCCATGCTTTGCAACCGATGACTCTTTGGCCGTAGTCATCTGACAACTGCTTACTTTGCTCTTGGTACTTCGCATGATGTCAAACTACGCTGAGTGCCAACCATCAAAAGTGGCTTGGATGACCTCATCCTTGCCAATGGAGTGCGGCCACCTTTGATTGGCCGGATCCGTGCGATTACCCACGACCAGAAGCATTTTGCCTTTCGTAGAAAATTCAGGCCCTTAGATATTTTGCAGCTCGTCTTTCTCACCTGTTTCACTTTCAGTACAGAGGAAACACTGCTCACATTGGTTGGGGGTCCGCTGTGGTGGTTTTTTGGGTTTGTTTTGGGGTTGGTTTTGGGTTTTTGTTTGGTTTTTGGTGTTGGTGGTTTTGGTTTGCTTCCCCCATCAATATGCAGTGTTTCCTTTCCTTCAACGATGACCTGGGCACGCCGCCCACATGGCGTCCGCACTCGTGGAAAAAATAGCAATAACACGCACGCAATGTTTGCAACAAAAATGTTACTTGTAAAATGTTCAATGTGTACACAGTATATGCATCATATTTTATATCGTGATACATTTGACGGTGTGGGCAGCCGGTGGTAACCCTAGCCCAGAAATGCTCTGATGCGTTTTCATACGGTCACGGACTTCCCTCGCGTTTGGTGAGTGTTCCCACCATTAGGTGACGTGGGGCTTTGGATGTAGGTACGTATAGCAGGAGATTGTAATGGACCTACAGTAAGTTCTGGGACTACAATTGTGACTGGTAACAGGAGATTGTGACTGGTAACTCACGATATTCATGAACTTACTCTGGATGTAAAGCAACCATCAGGAGAAAGTTCTCTTGGCCCAGTCGGGGTGGTCATCTGTCGATGATACTTTTCCTTCACCAGTCTGCGAAGTGACTGCGACGGAAAGAAAACGAGTTCGGAGCCAACCCAAGAGAAATTGAGAACCCATACTTTCAAAAAAGTGCTCGACAACAGCACATATCCGTCAACACTGTTCTCATGACAACATTCATTGTGGCCCAATATCGTTTCTTTCTGCTGTTACCCAATATGATGTGTATAAACATCTATTTTTAGTGTTATCCTGGTTGTTATTCACCAAGCAGTTTTAAAGTTGGGGTTCTCGGCCACAGTCCCTGGCCACGCCCACTGTGTGCAGCTTGGCCACGGCTGCCCCGGTCTCCAAAACCTTGTCCTGTTGTCCTTTCTTCTCTCTGTTCAATCTTCCTGACCTCTGCTTGTCCGGTCTCCAGACCTTGTCCGGTCTCCAGACCAGTTGCCCTCTTTGACTTTCTCTTTTCCTCCTCTTGTCTTCTTGTCCTCTTCTTGTCCTCCTGTCGTCTTGTTCTTGACCTCTTCTTGTCCTCCTGTCGTCTTGTTCTTGACCTCTTCTTGTCCTCCTGTTGTCCGCTGCCAGCCAGTCTCCAGACCTTGTCCTCCTGTTGTCACCTTTTGGTCCTATGTCTTTTACTGTTCTGGTCCTCTTCCTCTTCTTGTCCTCCTGTTGTCCACATGTTGTCCTTCTGCTGCTGTCCAGATGGCAGCATAGCATGCAGGCATGACACCGTGACAGCAAGAGCACGAAGCATCGTCCCCAAGGGCAATCAAAGGGTCCAATGCGAGAAAAAGATTGCACATGCGCAAGCCTTGTGTGGCACCTAGTGGGAAAGCGCCAGCCAAGCGCGAAGACCCGTCATACCACAGCATGGCCACATGGCAGCCTGTCAGCATGTAAACATGACAACACGCAAGCGAGACTGCGGCCAGCTTCTTTTTCCTAAGGGAGAACTCCAACAGAAAGCTGCTTGGGCATTCTTTAAAGAGAGACCCTCATTAGCAAACCGCTTAGGAAAAAAACATGCAGTCGTCTTGCAAACGTCGCACTGATCCTTGTCAGACTAGTGCGATTCGCAAGCAATGACGGAATGGATCACAAGGAAACTGTATCGGGGGATTTGTGGATTGATTCCCTCAATCCTCATCAAGTTGATGGGATGGTTCTTGGTTCTTCCACATCGAGCGTGTTCTTGTTCATCTCGATGTTGGCGATGTCGTCCGGCTCGAACATAGCTGTTGTGCTCAAACCAGGCCTGTCAGTCTCACGAAGACTTCCAAATTCAGCCCTTGGGCTCCTTGGTCGGCAGTTTCCATGCGGGGTATCTTCGAGAGAAAAGAGTCACACTAGTGGAGCTGGATATAACGACCACGGGCTGCCATTTGCTTGCAAGGTTCCACATGATGATGCTTCTGCTGACGCTCATGCAGGTGTATTAACCTCAGGAACTTTTTGAGCGCCTTCACATGGATCTTGCAGGTGCTTCCACTTCATTCCCTGCGGCAAAAGGACCTGACCAACTCTTCAGAGGCTGAGTTTGCAGAATTTGGTCTGATGTTTGAAGCGTCGGATGAACGAACCAGGTGCTCTCCTTTGGCTTGCCCCGAAATTGCAGAAAGACTCAAGGTGGGGCACCCAAAGGAATATGAACAGTTGAAACGAAGGAATTGGACGATTTGCATTGAACAATCTGAAACTTGATGATAGGAAAATTTGGCATTTCAGCAGCGCATGGGATACTTGGTCTTGAGGGTCAGACAGCGCAGTTTGGGTCCCCCTGAATTGAGAACCATTGCCAATGCTTGACTTCTCCCTAGAGTCCTGTGGGACACAGCCAAGACTCATTGCAAATGACATTGCCCAGTGTGAGGGTAGACAGCTTCCTGACTAAGATTACGAGCACTGCTGTGCATGCGGAAGAGTGCAAGACCCAGAGGATGTCAGCTGCAGCCTCGGCTGCTTCGTACTTGGCCAAGTGAAGAGGATCTGTTTTGAACGCCAGAGTTCTCCTTCAAGAGCCACCGCAAAAACGTGCCAGGACGACTACTTCGCACCACTGAGGTGCCAAAGACAGGAAGGCCTTGCTGAAACGCGAGTGGGGGCGTTCCGATGATGACCTTTGCTTCTGGTCCAATCATCCAGAGAGATCGGTCCGGGTGCCTCAGCCGAATCGGCGATGCTGACAGATGTGGCTCGAGCAGTTCTGGCCGGTTCCGCGGTCTGCCAGGTCTTGAACCGAGAAAACATTTGCTGTCCACAGTGGGCCACAGTGGCTTGATCAAAAAATATCCATCGTGGTGGGGTCTGCAGTGGTGAAACGGAAGGTGGCTAGTCAAGTGAGAATGCGTAGCTGGAGCCCTGGCCCACCATGTAGCTTGACCTGGCCCGCCATAGGTCAACTGGTCGTTACCTTGGTGCCATGTTTTTTCATTTTGTGCCCTGTTGAAGAAGAAGAAGAAGAAGAAGAAGAAGAAGAAGAAGAAGAAGAAGAAGAAGAAGAAGTCGTGTTTGCTTGGCTAAACGGCTAAACGGCTAAACCCAGCAACGAAGCAACATGTTTTGCCCGGGGAAACCCGGTGCATGTCATGTTGTGCATGTCGTGCATGGATCCATGCGAACTCAGGAATGTGAGGCCGACCGCGCTGAGCTGTTTCCACAGTTCCCGCTTTTTTCCGCTCTGCTGCTTGTTTTTTCAGGTGGACGATGCGTACTACAAGTATCGCCTGGAGCAGGATTGTCTGCCAGACCTACAGGATTGCCAGCTGAAAGACTCTTGTTGTCGCACAATAAGGGATTGCCACCAACACCCGATACTCGTTGGATCATGGGAGTTCTCATTTGTCGCTGGCCCTGGAGATTCCGTCTGGGAGGAAGGGTTGTGAAAGACCAGTGTTCAGTTGGTCCAGTGGCATGAACCAACTGACTTGACCAATTTCATGATCTTTTTGTGCAGCCAAGGAGTGCAAAGCGGTGACAGAAAGGTTGGCATCTGCGTGGGAACCCAGAGCTCACAGAGCTCATCTTTGAGGAGGGTGATCTAGATGTCTCTGGATTTGTCGACTTCTCATCTCAGTCATTTGGGTTGAAGAGAATTGAACAGCGTCTTAAGTTGCTGAAGGCCCTTTTGGGACACGTGTACCATGGTCCACGCTTGGTTGGTGAGTTTTTCCAGTGCATGCTCATACACTTCAGTCAGGCATTCAGATTGAACCAATTCCGCGCATTTGGGAGACTTGTGGGATGGTACGATGGTATGTCCCAGTAAACCAGCTAGTACTGTAGTCGTGGGTAACAGATCATCCACTCCGATCTTGACATGCCCAACCTCCCCAACTCTGGACCATCTGGGATCCAAGAGAGGGCCCTTTTTGGGCTCGGGTGGGAGGTCTCCCAACATACCCAAGTCTCTTGCCTGGGTCTATTCGGTCGCTCGGGGTTGCGATATGTCGCGATCCTTTAGGCGAAAGAGTGGCTGAACAGGGCCCAGACGAAGCTTAAGGACTCCCGTTTTTCACTCACTCAGTCCGTTCAGTCACCACTTTGACAGGCGGAAGAGGAGGAGTTGAGAGGCGTACCAAGTAATGTGAGTGGTCATCAGTACTGCTGAGTTTTTGGGAAGACGACAGTACTGTCAGTACCGCAGCTAGGTTTGAACAGAATTCAGAAATTTGGGTGCTTGACATCTCTTACACTTCTATCACTGACGCCTGAAACGGGAGAGTGAAGAGGACACAGTTTCTGGTACAAGCACGCCATTTTCCGTACACTGACTTCGCACTTCTCCAGAGGCCTTCAGTGAAGCTGAAAACAATGCCCAGGAGAGCAAGAAGAGTACTTGGAAGATTCGCTACGTCACTGGCCAGAGCAACCATGGAGAAAGGCGGGGTTGCTTTGCTTTTTTTGTCCTTCCTCGCGAGGTTTCACACGTGAGTTCGAACTGACCAGGTGCAAGTGTGTTTGTGGCGAGTTGCAGAATGAGACAAAGATGGAGTGCAAGAGGAATCGGAAGGGATTCAGCACTTGCCCCAAGCCACTTGGATGGATGGAAGAGAAACAGAGACCCCAGTGAGGTGTCCATGAGCATTCATGGTCGGTTCTCCGGAACAGTTGACTTTTACAGATGTCAGGAGGGCCTCCAGCTTTTTAGGGCTCAAAGCATCGCCCACAAAATCGCCCACGAGCTGTGACACACAAGTGTCCAAACATCCAGAAAGTTCATGAGCAACCATCAGGAGCCATAATGTCGACTCTTGATGAAGAAGAACTCTCGTATGAAGAGGCTTCGCCATCCATGTTTGCGGGAGTTTATCGATCAAGAGTCTACATTCGGTTGAACGATTGAAAACAGTCTCACGGGTCCTTGAAGTCGCGGCAGGTTCAGGTCGCGACGGGAGCTGCTGCAGATTTGGGGTCTGCAATTTGATGGTCACGACCCGCGTTTGGGGCCTCCCCAAAGCTGCCAGCATACCCACATAGCAGCACCCAAGAAGCTAGGAAATGGCTTCTACCACTTATGGCTTTGGGGCCTTCCTCAAGCTTCCCCAATCTTCCGGCCAACCTTCCGGCTCACCGGCTTCCCCCGCTGTTGTAGGAGCTGGGCCCCGGCCCCTTTTCATCTGTTGTCGCTGGCGCACCTCCTCCGTCGCTCTCAGTCTCCGGCCCTGCTGCACGAAGCTGGAGGACTGCGCCGCAGAGGCCGGCGCCGGGCACGCCGCTTGGCGACGCGCCCGGCGGCACCGAAGCTCGGAATCCGAGGATCCGTGGCCCAGACAAGTGAAGGAGGAGTACCAGAAGAAGACGGCGAGAGCAGAGAGTACAGAGCACAGAGCATGTATGTTCTGAAGATTTCCATGACTTGCTGTTGCTGGAATCATGGGCTACCATGGGTTACCTGCATTTTGAAGATCGTGACTTGCTGGACAATTGCAGGCCGAAGCGAAGGCTCTGAACTTAGATTGTTTGCCTGGCTCTTTTGTGTGCGTTGAGACATCAATCTTGTCACCTCTTCCAAAGCCGGAGGCTTCGATGAAAGTGGCTTGGCAGAGTACAGGCAATGACAACAAGTCACCCTTGTTCAGAGTCTAGCTGGCACCCCCTAGAGCTTGCCTATCTCTTCTTTGACTCACTCCTAAAGTCTCATCCTCAGGAGCTGCAGGATCAGGTCGATCACCTCAGGTTCTTGCAGAAGGCCGCGTGGGACGCGCGGGTGTAGCGTGATGCCGCTTAAGAAGGTGACATTTTTTTCTGGACTCTCCAGGTCAGGTCACTTTTTACAAAGCTGGGAGAACTTGGAACTTGATCAACTTGGATCTGGGGTGCCAATCAAGTGTTCTTTCTCCAAACCATGTCCAATGGTAGCGATCTGGTTTGCCGACCTGCTTGCGTCGGCTCCGTCACTCCAGCAGGACTGTGTCAAGAGCTGTGGCCGCGCGCGGTCCTATGTCTATTTGTATCATTTGAAGAAACTGGGCGCCGGAAACGGGTGGCTTCGTTGAGAGGAACACTAACTGCTCCAGGCTTCGTTGGATCTACCGAGATTATACCAATGGTCCAGTTGGGCCGCCCCAGTGAAGAGATCCCTTACCAGACGTCCGGGCCAGTAGATAGGGTTTGGTTCGGGCCCGGACCCTGCAGGGTCCAACCGAGCAGAAAATCCAGAACTGCCGCGGCTTAGAGGATCGACCCTGGTAGATACGACCCCAACACGGCGACAGCTGGACAGCTGGGTGTGAGTGGACCAAACGAAAGAAAACCATCACCCAAAGCCAGGCTTCACCCAATCACCAAGCCCTGAACAGATGGGGTGGTTGTGGCGCACCTGCCTGGTCGAAGCTCACCCTTTGGACTTCCGCACGGGCGAACGTCCGATGACTTGGACGAAGCACGAATGGTGACAGAGCTGGAGAAGAATGACACCCTGTAAAGCTAGTCCCAACCAGGGTATTGGGGTTGAGGGTTTTTGGGTTTTTGGTAGAAACAGCTCGGGTTCTTCCAATCTTTCTTTGCGCCAGCTTGAGATCCTTTACAGAACAAGTGGCTGGCTAACATGTGGGGAACCATCGACTTGTTTCGGACCGGGGTTTCCAGGTGGCTGCAGGGTCGGCATCTTCCGTCTGTCCCGTGGGTCTCGATGCCCTTCGGGATTCGTAACCAACCACCAGAGCCTGACACCCGAAAAAGCCGTCCGCGATCTTCGTGGGAAAGGAAACGTGCTTTGGCTGGCTGGCCTGTCAGCGCACTGAATCCTTTTGCAACTGCAAATTCCACATTTTGCGAAATCACAGAACTACTTTTTGTTGCACTCACCGGCTCTGCTTAGCGACTTTGCACGGCTCGTTCATTATGTTGGCCCCACCGACGTCATTATGTTGGCCGACGATGTAGACCGACGCACTATGTTGGCCCCACTTCCCCACCCCCCACCCCCCACCCCAACAATTTGCAGCTCTGACCGTCAGCAACTGTCCATGTCGTACGTGTTGTTGTTGCAAGTAAGCAAGTTGAAAGACATCCGAGAACTTCCAATCCATACCCAACGTAGCATCAACTTGGCGAATGGCAAACACGTGGAAATTCTCCACCCAAAGGGTACAATTTAGAGTGCAACATAGCAAACATTTGGTACATGCGAGGAGCTAGCATCATGTTATGTGCAGTCTGAGATATGTTTCAGATACGATGAGCTAGCATCATGTTATGTGCCATCTGAGATTTGTTTTATTGTTGTGCAATGCATGCAGTCTGAGATATGTTTTATTGTTGTGCAATGCATGCAGTCTGAGATATGTTTTATTTGCAATGCAACGAAGACCTGGAGCTGGGATGCAAAAAAAACGTCGAACAAGTCAAAATCGGGGGTCGTGGTCCAACTACTTGACTACTTGACTAGCAGAAAACGACTCTCAGCGCCCGAAGCTTGTCTAAGGAGTGTGAAGAAGAAGAAAACGACGCTTGTCTTTGCTGTCATCTTCTTGTAGACACAATCTGTCCGTGTCTCAACCAGGTTTCGCAAGGATATTACATGGCAAGAAGCCATTGAGATGGACCGCTTCGAGAACCATCGTGCCAAGGGCAAATCAGCGAAGTGGGCCACTTGGCCGAACCTCGTCGCCGAAGGTGTTGGAACGAGTTCTGGCCAGGTGCGGTTCGGTTCCATCGCGTGGTTCAGGGATCTGGTTTGGCCGTCCCAGACGTCCGGACCGTTGGGGATGGCCCGGAGCGCTTCGGAACTCCACGGCGGGTGCGACCAAACCCCGAAGCGACCGGTGAGTCACCGTGGGGTCGGAGATCGGCCCTGGGATCGGAGTCGTGTGAATGCGTCCGTCCGAAGTTGAGATCCCAGAAGAAAGGACCAAAAAGGACTCCTCGCGTCCGAGGACCTCTAGGTCACAGAAAGAGGTCACTGACTGAAGGTCCTGTGAAATCCGGTGACTTCCTCAGGGTTGGTCTCATTGTGCTGGTGCTGCGGGGCAGTCTTAGCGCTACTGTTGTGAGGTCGTTGAGGTTGTGAGGTCTTTAGGTTTTGAGGTGGGTTGGACGGAGGTGTTGGATGGAGGAGTTGCTTGTGGAAAGCGTGTGGAAAGCGGTGCTTGTCACCAAACAAGTCGACATGCGGCGGCTGGTTGATGTGTGTGAGGCAGAACAGTGAAATCACTCCTTCCGCGTAGTGGTGGTGCTGCTGCTGGTGGTGGTGGTGGTGGTGGGGGTGGTGGTGTGCGAACTCTTTGTGACGTTAGGACACGAGTGGCGGTGATTTTCGGACGTCACGTCACAGGACGTCGTCTGGCGCAGTGGCGCAGTACTTGTTTTGCGTGCAGACCTTTGGAGTGAGCTCGGAAGGTGGCTGTCGCTGCGCTGTCCGCTGAAACGCTGAGCTGTCCGCTGAGCTTCTCCATCCCGGAGGCTTTGTCTCAGCCCGAAACCTTTGCTGGTTTTCTTGGAGAAAACCACGTGAGGGAGGACTGTCCCTTCCATCGAAGCGCGGAAGGTACGCGCAAACGCGCGTGCGCGTGCACTGACTTCTGGAGACTGACTTCTGTGTCCGCTCGGTGTGGCGCTCGTTGTTTTATTTCTACTGTATTTTTAAAAATAGAATAACTGGGAGTCCTCACTTTTGAGAGTTTGCAACAAGGAGGTCTAAGTTGAACAGAGTCTCCCATGTTTCAGTGTCACCTTCTGCGCGGCTCCTGCGTGCGCAGCACGGAGTGTTGAGTCGACCTGCCAAACTCCGCTTGTTATGTAAGGTAAGGATCTCAAGCTGCCCCCCAAGAGATTGGAAGAACCCGAGCTGTTTCTGGTTGGGACTGAGTTGGTGGGAGTGGCTTACCACCTCCTCTCTTGAAGAGGGCCTCTCTTGCCCTCTTCTTCTCCTCTTCCCAGGAGGCGGAGAAGAAATTTCTGGACGACGGGCGACAGTGGATGAGGAGATCGCATCAGCTGGTGACTCGACGTAGCTTGCGACTCGTTGGGGGCCCAGAGGAGGCTTCGAACGTAGCACGGAATGGCCAGGTGGCGCAACCCTTTTTTTCATTTTTTCCCCCCCGGCACGAAAACGGTTCGCGTACGCCGGGAAGTGATAAGAATCAGAAACCATTTTTTGTGAGAAATCCTGAACACTGCAAAGTGGTTGCTGCCTTCGAGGTGAAAATGCCGCCATCACATGAGACGGGCCCAGACTTGCCTTTCGGATTTGATTGTTGCGCGTGTGGGCAGCCGCTGATGTGGGGCGTCTTGGCTTAGGAGGATTGAGGCTGAGTTGGAGAATTGACAGTCTTCAACACTACGGAGTACGGAACCAACCTGCCAGGCCTAGTATCCTCCTTTTGACTTCTGCCCTTTCCCAACGTCTTGGCCCAAAACCCCGGCGGCCCACTACCGGTTTGACACCGACGTTCCACGCGGACATTGGCTGAGGTGAGTTCGACGTGCCGGCAGGAGATCCGCTTCCTATGGCCACCCGCTTTTGCAAGGCCAGAATCGAATGCAGTGCCTTCCGTGGCGCCACGCGAGGCCTGGTGACCTTTTTCCATCATTCGGCAGATCATGCATGTTAGGAGACGAAGACATGCATCGATCCTCCTCTTTTCCAAACAGCTCGGTGGGCAGGATTTGGTGCATGACGATGTGATGATGTAGTTGGATGCGGAAAGAAACAGCACGTCAGAACTGACGTTTTCCGATCGCTCACGATCGCAGGCGGAGCCTGCACATCGGTGCCTCTTGCTTTCTGCACGAAATCGGTGCTCAAGTGTCCGGACCAGCTAGGCGCGGTTCGTGTTTTCGGCAGTGTGGAAGTCGAATGTGTGGAATGGGATGCCTTCTTGACCTGGCAAGTCGATCCATCCTTTTCCGTTGGGCTTGGGCAAAGGCATGACTGCTTTTTCATATCCGAAAGATGTTTTCAGCCAATGGGGACAGTCTTTGGCTGGGGGGACCTGGTTCTGGGACCTATGGCACAGGTCAGAAGTCTGCTGTCATGCTCTCTGGTTCAGTTCATTCTTTGGTGATCAAATCCTCCATGGTTGAGCATTCCTCCATTTGTTTGGGTCAAGTCTTTGAACAACAAAGCAGGGAGAAAAAACGACATTGAAATGATCAGACTGGCTGTGAAGACAGAGTCATGAAATGCAGCGAACAGTTTCCAGTGAAGCCTCTTCCTTTCCTCGATCCTTCGAATCGGGTTGCGTTTTGTGTCGTCTGAAAACACCACAGGTTTCTTCACAAGACCAGTCTGGTACTCCAATGTGTGAGTAGAGCTACTCAGTAGCTGCTGCAGCCTGTGGCAGCTCGAAGCGACATGTCGACGTGGACATCAAAAAGAGAGCGCCGACTCCTCGACTCCTCGACAGTGCGGCCAAAGCCTTGATGAGGAATGCACTGGCTTCCCCTTGGGTCTTCACCTGGTTTTTGCAGTGGATTCTATCCCTAGTCGTAAACAAGGGTCGTTCGGGATTCAAGCTATTAAATCAATGGTGGGCCAGGAATTCTTGGATTGCAGTCCAGAGTTTTGATGTCAAGGCTATGCGATGTGGTGGGGCGAGCTGGTCGAACTCGTCGGTGGGCATGTGGACCCGTTTGCTGCTGGAAATCCAGATGCAGCCCCCACGGTTCTTCCAAGGGCTTGCAGTTTGTGTGGACATGTGTAAATGGGATTCTGAAAGGCAGCCTGGCTACACAGCTGTATCAGTATCATGTTCATTGTGCCAGCGGCACATGAGGCAGGCGCTGCAGCGCCTGCCTCCCAGAGGGCCCAACCAGTGTGGTTTTTGTGAAAGCGCGCTGCACGTCTGTCTAGTGGGGTCGAAGCAAGATTCCCGTCATATTCTTGTACCAACAACGCTTGCCTTGATTTGGAGGGTGCCGTCGGGGTGCCCCTGTCACATACACTCACTGGATGGGACTCGAAACCATTCCTTTGAGTGCCCAGCCACCTCTGACCTCAAACACCTCGGGATCGGCTCGCCTGCAACGTTTTTTTGGACCTCCAAATAGACAGAAAAGACTGTGCCACTATCTATTTTGGGACCACTATACGGTCCCTCTCCAGCCCCTCTTGGGGTGCTTTTGCGGACCCTCTTTGAGGCGAGCGAGTATGTCGAAGCATCGGCCCAAAGCTCAAACGTCAGCCCCACAGTCACGTCAGCGAGTACGTGCGGCCATGGCCGACGTTTCTGTCGTGGAGAGCCCTGTGAAAGCAGGCAAGTCTGGCAGTGGAGCATATGCCGTGGGCATTTGTGCATTCGTCGCCTGTCTGAAGCACAGGGTGCATGTGTTGTTTCGTGCAGCCCCCCCACAGGTAGCGGGTTGGTTTCATCGTTTTGGCTCGTTTTGCAGTGTGCTTTTGTATAGTGATGTATAGTGTATATATGCTTGTTATCCCAGCAAAACAGCCACTTTGCATCTCAAGAAAAAATCTCGGCTCGAGCGCCCGCTCGGTCCTAGCTGGGCACTCGCCCTTCCTTTGGCCTATTTGGCCTTTGCACTGGCGGCTGATAACTGGAGTTGCATCCTCAGCCTTGTAGGCTGAATCAGCCGCTTTGGCCGAAGTGGCCAGAAGGAGGCTAGCGCTACATCGAGGAGACAGTGTATGAACCAAAACACCGAGGTGGAAGAACTCGCCTTGGAAGTTGGCCAACTCCGGATCCGGGTCTCGCGTCGCGAAGGCTACAGATCGACTCCTCTGCGTGTGGGCGCATCCTCCTCTTCTTCTACATCTTCACAGCTCCCCAGCTCGGGTGCCCTTGCAGGCCTTCGGGCCACCGAGCCAGAGGCTCACACAGAGCTGGCTAGCATCTTTTCCTGGTCTGAGGTCGGTGAGGACCTGTCGACATCTGGGCCGTGGACTCCGGAGTGGTTTGAAGCTCTGGCCAGGGCGGACTCGCCTACCACATTGAAAGAATTGGACCTCTCCCCTATCTCGCACTTGATCTCACGTCTGAGGACTACCAGTGCGGGGTGGGATCCTGAAGCTCGCTTGGCTCGAGCGCTGAGGGCTGGTGTCTTGGCTAGGCACTGGCTGGACAATCGGCCACTGACGGCCGCCAACGTTGGGGGACCTACTTTGCCCTCAAAGTTCTTCATTGTGCTCAAGGCCGGACCTGGCCTTTCTCCTGAGTGGACGGGGGACTACACTACCTACTTGGGGCAGGTCTGCAAACAACCTCACGAGTTTTGGCCTGGGACTGTGAGCCAGGCCTTTGCATCCAGAGCTGAAGCTGACGCCTACCTGCTCGGTGCCCAAGAACCATGGCCTCCGCTTCTGGAGCGCCGCCTATGACCGAGCAGACCCTGAGAGCCCTGTTGAACGACACCCCATCAACAGGGCCCTTACTAGGGGTGCTCCTGGTCCTTCCTTCTCGAGAAGATGGATCAGGTCTGAGAGCCTTAGGCGCTCTCGTACGAGTGCGCACTGGAGGCTTCATGGTTGCTCTGCCAGGCCTGGCAGAAGTTGCAGAGTTCCTTCCATACCTCACCACAGAGGAGGGAGAAGACGATCAAGGAGCTTCCTACACCACCGCGGTGTACATGGAAACTGTTCGTTGCCGCGGACTTCCTGCAGGTCCATGTTTACTTGCCGATGTGCCTTGGATGGTTTCCAAGCATTTCAGGAAGGGGCACCCGCTGAGGAATCCATCTGCATACGAGGTTTTGCGCCTTACTCTCGAACGTGCTCCTTGTCGCCCTCGGCGCTCCGCCCTGCTGGCAAGTTCAGAGCAGTGGATCCGCGAGATCATGGACGGCGACACTGCAAGCGTTTACGTGACTGGAGACGACGAGATGTGGCCCGCAGCATCTGTTTTGCCTCCGAGTGGGGCTCAGCAGGAGGAGGAGGTTTCCCTTCTCCAGCAACGGATCACTCAACTCGAAGCAGCGCTCCAGTCACAAGCCGCCTCGCCACTACATGGGGGGGCTCAAGCTGTTCAGCCGCCTCCGCCTCCCAACCGAGGCGTCCTACCTGGCGGTGTTCACACCGTCTCACCACAAGCTGGTCCACAGGATGCCGTCGAAAGACTCAGAGCATTAGCTGGCGTGGCTTTGGTTCGACTAAGGGCGCGCGAAAGTGCAGTGCGAGAACAGCGGCCAGAGAGGATCCTGGAGCCCTTGCAACAAGAGGCGGGGTTGGGGGTAGCAGAGCCTGCAGAGCTGGAGGAAGGCATCGCAGATCTGGAACTGGCGTTGACCGACCCACTTCAGAGGACGCTTGTCCTGCAGATGAAGCAGATTGCTATGTTGGCGCGGCAACAGCAACAGCGTCAGACCCCCGATCCATTGACAGCCGCTTTGTTTGGAATTTCCGGTGGGCAAAGCACGGGCAGAGGCAGCGTCAAAGGTTGCTTAGCTCGCAAAGCTTATCTGGAGCTGATGCAGGATCATGGACCGTCATGGAGCACGCCTCTCGAGAACTGGGCATCGCGCACAGTCAAGTGGGGCCGGGGCTCATGGAAGAATACATGGAGAAGAAATGTCCATTAGGCGACAATCGACTCCTGATCCAACAGGCGGATCGATGGGGCTTTGCGTGGGAGACGGGGCTCCGGACGAACGATGTCGCTCTGATGGGAGTGGCCAGTTGCGGCCTTCTATTCATCGATCAAGCGGCCGTGGACTTTGGTCGCACCAATCTCGGTTGGCCACTGACAGCCTTGCTAGAACTACAGTTCAGCACCGCTCAAAGGAATCGGCGCCGGCAGAGCTTGACCCCGTTCAGCCGCCCTGCGGCGGCCAGCTGGGTGGAAGCGAACGAAGCTTTCATGAAAGACCTCGATTACCTCGAAACAAAAATCAAGGGGAGAACAATTTCATCCTCTTGAGAGAGGCGAAGGAAGCTGGCGACGAGACCGCCCAAGCTACAGAGAAGGCTCCTTGGAAGCCCAAGAAGAAACAGAAGGAAGACAGCGAGCAGAGCTGAAGCCCACAGCCCGCAGAACCTCACATCCATCCCCGAACCTGTGTTCTCCTTTGCCGTCCTCTTCTTTGCCAGAGCAGAGGGATTGTCTCCCTACTGCTTCTCACGGTCGGGGGGAGCACAGGGGCTGGGTCGATGAGACTTCCGTTGGTGAGGGAAGGGCAAGTGGGAGCAGCATGAGTCAGGTGAGGAAAAAGGCTCCTCACGTTGAGTCAAGGGCCGCTTTGAAGCCTCAGATTCATGGAGCCACTTTTCCTCAGTCAATTAGATGCATTGAGTTGTTTTTAGCCTCCCTGAAGACCGCGTATTCCTGCCCAAAGCTGGATTGGTTCATTAGGAGAAGCTTGGAGCCTTGCCGCACCGTTTTACCTCAAGGTACTCCCGGTCCTACCCGTACTCAACTTCACACGAACAATAGCTCCTGGGTATCTGATTGCGCTGATTCAGTTGGGCGAGGAGGAATGTCTGCTTTGCTCGTCGGACGACCTCTGTGAATTTTACTATACCTTCCGGGTCTCAAGCAAGCGTGCGTGCAGGAACGCTATTGGTGTCCCATTCAGAGCAACAGAACTTGCACACCTATCTTGTTTTGATCCATCCAAGCATCGAGGTGAGTTGTTGGTGTGTTTGGCCACGCTCGCAATGGGAGACTCGCTGGCGGTTGAGATTGCACAGCAAGCTCATGTGAACCTGCTGAAAAACAAAGCGGACTGCATGAGGGCGGAGGAGTGTTTGTTGTATCGGCAGCCGATCCCCAGAGGATCGTTTTTCGAGTTGTTGACAATTGATGACCACATAGGACTTCAGAAAGCTCGTCGATCGGGGGGCTCCTTCGTCTGCAACGACAGGGATCTTGAGGTTTTTACAGCAGCAAACAGAGCATACACCACTGTTGGCCTCACTGCGCACCCGGGCAAGAGACAACGCAGAGCATTGCACGCTACGGTGCTTGGCGCCGAAGTCGATGGCTCTCGAGGTCGAGTGTCAGCCCCACGGGGTAGGGTGGCCATGTTGTGCTTCATCACTGCTGTTGTTGTAAAGAAAGGACTTGTCACACGAAAGTTACTTCAAGCCCTTATAGGATGTTGGACCCACATTCTCCTGTTTCGACGTCCCGCTTTTTCAGTTTTGGACAAGGTCTATCAAGAAGGTGCCAGCTTCCATGAAGACCTGGTGTTCAAGATGTCAAAGCAATGCAGAGCCGAACTAATGAGCCTGTGTTTGATTGCCCCAACCTTGCAGACTGATATGCGAGTAAGAACTGCGCCAGAGATCTTCATGCTTGACGCCTCTCCCTTCGGGGGGGGCATTTGCCGCGCAGCCATGCCCTCCGCAGTTGTTGAT